CAACTATGATTACAGACATGGTTTTTACACAAGACACCTATCTGTAATAATTGTTTAATCTAATCAAGATTAAATGTACCAGGTACTATCAACTCGATAACAACCATCCTACACCTGTACAATAATATTACATCTGTAATTAGCTATCTATAGATAAACATAAACCCTCTATTGTTACCTGAATACCCTTTTTTCAAGTTCTTCGATAACTTAATTTCACCATAGATAAATAACATTTACATTTAAAAAAAAAAAAAGATTCACTTTCAATATGCTTTTCGCTCAATGTAAAAAAAAATCTCTTTCAGTCATCTAGAGGCGTAAAATCACCCCATGATCCTTATGACAAATTGTTCTATAACTTTCATGAAATTGAACGATTGTTTAGGTGCAGTGACGATACAAGTATATGATATTATCTTATTAACTCTACGAATAATGTATTAATTAATACTACGTGTATAACCTGGCCAGTGTCTTCAAATGAAATAAGTATGTGGTCATCTATACATACAATGACGTAGTAAATACACAACAATGAGTTTGTGGTGTTAGACTCAAATTCCTTATAAGAAGTTCGCATCCCTTTTGTATCTGTTTTCTCTAATTGTTGGGCTTATAACCAGGAGTTTACTGACAGTTAAAGGGACGAGAGACGTGGAACGAGTCAAGAGGCGGGCGGAATGGTTATCTTAAACTATCCATGTACTGTGTTGATGTTATTGTTTATGTGCCTGGCGTAGTTTAGTTCCTGTTCCCGATGTAAATAAATAATATATTTACTAAACTGATCTCTGTTATCACTACTAACAGTGTTACATCTTTGACACCATGACCCATAACCCTACGACCCATGACCCTGTGAACTAGATAACCGGAGAGAGAGGGGGAGCGAGAGAGAGAGAGATGGGTTTAACGTCCACACGACACAAACTAGATAATATTGGGACTAACATATCGTTCAATTTGATTTTAGTAACTCCAATGCGCGTAGAGGTCTTTAGCTATGGTATTTTCGGGAGGGGGTCTTTTAGTCTTTTACAATTATTTTTTAATATATTATCTGATTGGTGGTTTCCAGACTCTGGAGATTCGGTACTCAGGATATACTTTAGAGAGCAACATACACAGTCCGTGTTTAAAAACATACCTCGTGCTAGGGAGGAGAGAGCCCCCAGTCCGTGACTACGGGGTCGAGGGATTTCTTACTTATTTTGTAACATAGTTTAGTCAGAAAGATATCAGCAGCGGTTTGTTGAAAACATTAGAGAACAATCATAAAAGCTTATAATCATCGGAAACAAGTCAGTGGTTATTATAACACGGAGTTTAATCTTCACTTGAAAATTACAGACACGAACAGCGGCACCACTCTTATATTGGTTCTTTTACGTGCACGCCAATGTGTACATGGGATCTCGGTTTTTCGTCTCATCCTAACGACTATATGTTGTCCCTTGAACTACACTTCGTATGACACCACTGACAAGGGGACCACGCTGGAAAATCCTGATTAACTTTCTCAGGCCAACACCAGGATCGAATACCGGACTTCCGGGTTAGTGAACCAATTTCTTACTCACTAGGTCAAGGTAGCTCCCTACAAACGTAGTACGCACCATGGACACTATTGAGCTAGTCTCAAAACATCGTCCAACCCGGGGAGCCACAATAATTGACAGTCACCCCAAGAAATGAACCGATAAACAGCCCCAACCTCTCGTTAATGAATTAAACAAGATTGGCGCGGCGCCTAACTTGGACAAATTTGTCTTCAACTATGCATGCACACAAAAACCTTTATCACTGAGGTCGGCGGCCACCTTAAAACGGGGCCATAAAGTGGTTCGTCTTGAACCTACATCGACTAAGAGTGCTTCACCCACCACTTAACGCCATCACCGTTACACATCCACACGTACCGTCTATTTATAGCAATTCTCTCTCTGTCTCTTTTCTCCCCTTTTGCATGCCCATTTTTGTTGATTTTTTTTGGTCTAGAATGGACGAAGAGGGTTTGAATTAATATTTTCTGTCAGGTTTTGGTAAATATTCATGATTTTGAGGCGGAAGGATAACGGGGTTATCAGTTTGGCTACGGTGATATGTATGGCAACTATTTATATGTTTTTAGTATGCTTCTTCAAGTTTGTGTATCTCAAAATTTTGGTGGTCAACTTCATACAAATTTTAGTGCAAAGACATGACCATTTGTTCCTCTGTCTGTGGTGAAAAGCATTCAGCCCAACGAAAATTTGGGGAAAAGTTGGAGGTGGGCAAAGAGGCCAGAATTAACATTGAAGTCAATGGGGAAATTAATGGTGGTCTGCCTCCAGTTAACAAATATGGATTGTCGCCCTTTAATTGGTGTCCAACGAGACTCTTTACACAGTCACCACTATTTTATGGAGTATAATTAAATTTGTATAACCATAACATAAACACCATTCTAGAACTTTTAATTTCTACCCACATTTACTACAAAGCCGAGTTTATATTCTTTGAAATGCAGCCAATGGGTTTGAATATACCTCGTTAGTAGAATTCCATGTTATCAAATGAATAATTAATTTCTAATCCACAAAGACCGTCTAGTTAAACAATAAAACCGATCGCCATGCGTGGGTGGCGCACTGTCAGGCCTGTAGCTAGTCCAAAACTGTGGGGGGGGAGGGGGGGCAAGGGACGCCGATAGGGCTTCTGGTCTGGGTGCGCCCATGTACCTATACACGGTCACCGTGGACCGTGGGGTGCTCTTCCCCCAGAAAATTTTGCACCTGAGGAGAGGAACTATGAAAGTGACGGAAAATTTCAATTTTGAGACTGGATCTGCGATATTATGATATTTTGATATGAACATTATAAACTTTTGAAGGAAGAATACGACTTTAGCATACTTATAATAATTTATAAGTAAATGAAAAGTTCGGGTTTGAGTGCGACTTGTTTGAATATTGAAGATTATTACTTGAATCAATCTCACTCGGCATGATGCATCATTATAAGACGCCCCCCTCCCCCGAATCCATACCATTATGGGCGCCCCTCCGGGATAAGGCACCCCATAGATCACGTCATTTGGGCGTCCCATCAATCAAGTTGTGGTGTTAATCGTGTGATTCAATATGAGCGCCTCACCATTTGGTGGGCGCCTCATAAATAACGACATGATGGGCGAGGCGCCCATAAAACCAAGAGACATTGGTTGTACACCCTGCCATACTGATATGGGCACATTGTTCTTTAGCCTGAGTGTCTTTATGATGTCCACCAGCACACGAACACGGGGAGCTATCCGACAGGTGTAAGAGGTATTTCATTTACTTTTTGGTAACAGTTAATTGAGGACACCTGTTTCCATCAGGTGCTATTTCAATAAAGGAGTAATCTAGGGTCTCAGTTGATGATCCATTTCACAAGCAAAGCCCATGTAAAAATAGAGAATGCCTTTCTTTAGTCTCAGTATTCAATCTTTTGTCATTTTCGATGAGCTGAACCCCGATTGGTGTTGCTAATTTACTCCTGTAGTATTGTCAAATCATAATGTTGTTATTGATCAAATGAAAATGTTAAAACATCATGAAGATTATCAAAAGAAAATGAAAGATTACACTGATAAACGTAGAAATGCGACATCACATAATTTTAAAATTGGTGATATAGTGTATATGGCGAACTTGAACCCAAGTAAATTACAATCAAACTTTAATAGTATAAAATATGTTATTTTCAAATTTTTTGCTAATGAAACTGTTGAAATAGTGAATACAGAAACCGAAGTTTAATATATATATATTATAAATGTAAAGTTTTTAAGACTAGTACCTAGTGAAAATTATGACATTTTATTAGATAGTGATATGACAGTAGATTTGCTAGAACCTAAAGAAAACGTTACAGCATCGAAGAACAAAGATTCATTTAATGTGAGAAAATCTAAAAGAGTGAGAAAAAATAATAGAGATAATAATTTTGTGTATTATTATAACTGTTGATTGAAACATTTCAGTAAAAAGAAGTTTATTTAAAAGAACATTTGTATTTTCAAAGTATGAAAATTTAAGATTATTTTAAATAGATTTATAATGTGTATTGTTAAAACTTTATTTAAAGATATAGTTTTAATTTAAATTAAGGAGGAATGTAGGATTGTCAAATCATAATGGTGTTATAGATATAAGGGAGATAATTACTGTAAAACAAAAGAAAGGAGTTATCCTAAGAAAAGATGGAGACAGGTACGCATAAAACCAGAATTTAGAAGACAATTAAGAATAAATAAACAATGTAACAATTGTATCTTAGTTAAACGATTCTCAAACGAAGGCACGACACAGCAACTCTTAATGTGCATACATAAAAACGTACGGAAAGAATAAACCTTTATTAATGTAAAGCTCGTCTGATGGACGGAATATTATCAAAATATTACAATAGGTTTCACATAATAATAAAACGGGACATGGGTGTATTATTATCACAAAACGCTTGCTTACAGTAGGATTAAGGAGAGGCCTAACTATTTATCAATCTGATTAAAACACAGATCCTATTTCGTTTCGTTTTTTATAGTTCAAAATTTCGTTTTACTTTTCTTTACTACACTAGGATCTGGAAGGGTTGTTATATTACCGGCGTTTTGGTTAAAGTGAGGGAAAAGCCAATGAAACGGTCTGTTACGACGACTTCTTGGCGTGCCATGCACGGAACTGTGGGTAAACCACTAGAAACGTCAACGCTGGTTGATTAATCAATGTCTGACGTGTTAGGGTCAAAATCCGCTCGTACGACCCCTGACGTGACCTCCCACTACAACTGGTCAGATCGAAAGTATAAAATAACGAAACTATATATAGACCTGTATTTTAATCAGAATGATTGTCTATATAATATTTATATTATGTACGCCATCATAGCTAATGATACTGAAACCATGACAACAGCACGGGACAACGGTGCAGCATTATGGTTTCTTGTAGCTGTCGAAGGTGTAGTTATAGGATTCTTTCCTGGTGCTGCCGTAAGATTCTGTCCTGGTGCTGCCGTGGTACTATTTCCTAGTGTTGCCGTAAAATTCTTTCCTGGTGTTGTTGTAAAATTCTTTCCTGGTCCTGTCGTAAAATTCTTTCCTGGTCCTGCCGTGCGATTCTGTCCTGGTCCTGCCGTAATATTCATTCCTGGTCCTGCCGTGACATTCTGTCCTGGTGTTGCTGGTACACCTGCAGCTATGTTCCCTGTTCCTGCCGGAGATGTAGCTTCTACGCTACCTATAAATAACCAGGTTTACAATGACAAAAAGTACGAAATGACCCAGGAGTGGTACCCATTGCACTAGCTTATGAAACAAAGAACTAACACATACTATCTAACTTCGACAAAATTCTTAATAATCCTTGTTTTTACAATGCTGTTCTGTAAAAAATCGAAAAGACCCCCCCCCCCCACTTCCTATCATTGTACTCCTGGGGGTGGGGTTGTATGGCTAAATGGTTAGCGTGTGCGCGCTGTATCATAAACTCTGTCATTAAGTCAGATGACGTGGCTTCGATTCCCCAGTTGTACGTGACAAGTAGTAGGGCCGCCTGTCCAATGTCGTGGGTTTTCACCGGGTCCTCCGGTTTCCTCCTACTGCTAAAGACCCCTACGCGAATTATTGAAATATAATTGAACCATATGTTAGTCCCGAAATGACCTAGTTTGTGTCAAGTGGGTGTAATCATGTCACAGTTCTGTCGTGACGTAATTAAACATGACCACCATGTTCAACTGTCGTGGTTGGTTTCGATATCTTCGTATTATGTAGACGCATGCGCTGTAACCTTTCCACTCGATTGTTACTATTCGGGGGAGAATTTAATACCTTTCCCTGTTGATTCTCTCAATTCCAAATATAGTAACAATCGACTGAAAAGGGGGCATGCGCCAACTGAGCACGAACATATCCCGATCATGATAGCTGAAACATATTCGTTGTGTTTAATTAAGTCACGATTCTACTCACACCACCTCCGTTGTCGGAGGACTGAATTCAGCGTCACTCGATTACAGTATTCTGTCAATTCGGGACGTTCCGGACTGACAATCGAGTATCCCAAGTAGGGTGTTCTGGTGGATTATCTCTATTAGACAATTGATGGGTCTTGCGCCTGTTTGCTCACTACACTTATTATTTTAGCGTTTTCCGAGATGCTATCCGGATTATCGCCCTTATTGTTTAAATTGTTTGACGTTCTAATTCATGACGTAAAGCGCAGTGGACGCTTATGGCTGGCCCCCGGATCCATTCACTTGATTTGATATTTGTTTATTTGGTGCAATGTCTATTTTCTGTCTTGTCCGCAGGTTTATCTTGTAGATTTTTGCTTTGCGTGTAGTGCGGTCCTCCTGCACTTACTATAAGTTTTGAATGGCCCAGTTAGTGTTGAATGGAAAGGCTTTCATTAACTTGCTGGAATATGAAGATATGATACCAACCTGTCACCATGGAGACGACAATAACCACAGCTAGAATATATATTATAACAAAAGTCTTCATGTTTCGATATAAAAACAAGTTCTGGAACTGAAAGTTTTTCAAATCTGAAATTGAAAAGAAATGTAATTCATTTCAGGGTTTAATCCGAGTTGAAAAATTTGCTCAAATTGGTTAACATATCTTCCTGTGTGGAAGAGGCCGATCAAAATGTTTCAGCGAAATCATGGGTTGTGTTGTGGATGTCGATTGTTGACTTTTAATTCATCATATCTCTGTAAATACTGAAAGGAATTCAACCATTTTAGAGCTGATATTTATATTATAGATTTGTCTTTCATAATATTGTAGTTTACAAAAGGTTGACAGTTCCTCAAAATATGATAACCAGGGGCATTAAGCTGCTTCACGGGGTTTCGTTCCAGACAGCTGTTAGATACGTTGTATCATCAGGTCTGTCATTGAGTCAACTGGCGAGGTTTCGATTTCCGGTTTCCTACCACTGCTAAAGACCCTTACGCGCAAGCGAGTTATCGAAATAAATTTTAACCATATATTAGTGCCGAAATGACCTAATTTGTGTTGAGTGCACTTTACCCCCCCCCCCCGCCTCTCTGTCTCAGTTTGGTCACTTATCTCTCTCGTTTGATATGTACAAACATGTTGGGTTGTACAATGCATATCGTTAGTTTAGTAATCCTGGTTACCCAACCCCGTATATTAACCTAGTAACGTTATCAATAGGTATTATTTGAATTGTGACCCTGCAGCTACTTTTATTATATTTTTTCATTTCGTCATGTCAACACGGATTAAATCAACTTTAAAATGGTAACCTGGGTGCTATTTACACCAGGGGCTGGGCCCTAATCGCTGCTAATCTTCTTGTTGGACTGACGCCATTAGAAAAAAAACCCTCCAAAGCTCTCCAGTTCATGCATAATCGTCACGGAACTTGACGTACTGTTCTCTGGACAATTGCGCATATATGCCACAATTATATAGATAAAGATATATTTATATCGAATTCCAACTCCCAAGAGATCTTTTACGTGCACTCCAATGTGTACAAGGGACCTCGTTTTTTTCCATACCATCCGAACGACTAGGCAGCTGTTCTCATCAGGCCTTCCACTGACAAGGGGCAAGCACGCCGGAAAATCGCGATGAAATGAAATGAAATGGAATTTAACGTCCTACTGTTCTGCTAAATCCCGATTAACTTTCTCGACCAAAACACTAGAGAGCTAGCGTCTTACCCACTTAGCCACCGTGGATCTCGGGGCCATATACGTTTATGAGTCAACTGGCGTGGTTTCGATTCCCCGGTTGTACGTGACAAGGAGTAGGGTCGCCTGTCCAACCTCGTGGGTTTTCTCCGGGTCCTCCGGTTTCCTCCCACTGCTAAAGACCCCTACGCGCAAGCGAATTATTGAAATAAAATTGAACCATGTGTTAGTCCCGAAATGACCTAGTTTGTGTTGAGTGGACGTTAAACCCCCCCCCCTCTCTCTCTCTCTCTCCCTCTCTGTCTCTCTCATATACATTTATACTAGTTTGTTGAAGCTTGATAAATACGAACATACTGTTTTTTATGTTGTTATCAGATAAGGGATATACCGTATCGATCAAGATGTCTCGAGGGATTAAGATAATGCAGGTTTTGGGACGTTCCATTGTGTGTCCGGTATCTCACACAGGGGTGTGGTGGAGAACAGGATCCACAAAAACAAAATAATAATTATATCGTTAGGGGTTCTGGGAGTACTCGCCCCCTCCCCCTCCCCCCTTCCACACCGAATAATTTTAGACTATGACTATGTTGATGTGTACCATATCTCAAACACGGTATATGTTTGAGCATAGAACTATTTTTAGAAGGATCAGTCGATATGCACCCATTTTAAGAACCAATCTTTGCTACGTCCATTCTCGTTCGTCTATCCCAGGCATGCGGGTCGACACAACTCTACAGAATGAGTAATAGCTGATTCCCATAAACAAGCTAGTACAAAATATAGTTAAACTAGAGATAACCACATAACAGGGCCATCTAGCTGTACCCAGACATACGAACATAGACAGCATACCACAGAGATTCCACATCTAGCTGTACCCAGATATACCGTACATAGATACACAGCATACCACAGGGCAGGGCAATCTAGCTGTCCTTAGACAGACCTGAACCCTGTGGCTGTTTCACAAAAACTTAAGCTAAAATCACTAAAATAGATTTTAACCTAAAATCAAATTGAAATTTTAAATTTTATGCGTTTCACGAAGATCGATTGTAACATAAAATGCAATTTTAAAAGGTTACAATTGCGCTTGCGCCCGCGCATTGCACATTTCCGTTCAGGGCACTTAGCGTATAAGCAAATACGCTTCGAAACTGAAAACTGTTGACAGGTTGAACTAACGGTTACAATATAAATGGGGAGGGTTTCATAGGTTGTACCAATTTCTGCACATGGTCAGACAGTCGTAGAGAGATCAATTAAATGAGTTTATTGCGTATTATTCGTTTCGCCTTGAACTTGCATCCTGCTTTCATGACCTTGGCATTTGATTTATGATATTTTGGATAACAGAAGCTATTGCGAGTTATCACAAACATATGATATTTGTGACTCAAACTACTAATCTAGGCTGTAATTTTTTTTGTGTCGAATTTTAAAAGTATTTAACAACTTTGAAACTAATCCACCAAATATCCGATGTTCCGATGTCTAGATCTGAAATGTCAGTCCCATAAACCCTTTCAATGATACCAGAATGCCACACTTCTTATTGAATAATGCCTATCTATCTTACTCAATTAAAATGATTTTTTCCCCAAGATAAAATATCTTTGACTCCTAAAACTTCTCTGATATAGGTTGTGTTATTAACGTAAGCCTTCATTAAGAAATAATAATAAAGTTATGATATTAGAATTTAATTTCAAATAGGCCTATAAAATTTTTTCAATAAACAGATTTGAGATTATTGATTTATCTTGTTACAAATCATCATAACCCCAAAAACATTTGAGTAAATACTTTACATATGACATTTCTAATATTATACGCCTTTAGGTCTTCTCATATCAAGAAATTGGCCATTTTAAACCATTGTAAACGAAGATATTCTTCCCATGACATTGGATATGAAGTGATTTTTTTTTTAGTGTTGGGGTTCTTATTTGGGGCGCCATCTAAATGCTTAAATGCCTTACAATAAACGGGTACAATGTAGCTGTATTTACCATGCAATATTACGAAATTGAATGAGGATTATTTTTGTAAATGATGGAATGTTAAAATTATGTAATCCAGGCCATTGGCAATGTTATCATTATTCCAAATATATCTATATGTCGCAATAGATCTCACAACGTAGCCCTAATCATTGTTTGTTAATGTGGCGATTTTAAGTTAGGAGTGGGTGACGGCTGTCCTAAGTTAAATTTGATTCTAGGTTAGTGAAACGCCACTATTTACGATAAGATAAAATTTTAACTCACAATATAATTTTAGTGGATTTTATCTAAAATGCTTAAAATCGTTTTGTGAAACTCATCTATCTTAAGTTAGGATGAAATTTTAGTTTAAGGCGATTTTAAGGAGATTTAAGTTTTTGTGAAACTGGACCCAGCTGCACGTCATGACTACTACAACAAAAGTTAGACTCTCCGCAAAATAATGTTCGATGTGACGCCTCTACTAGTATAAAACAATTTGGAATCGAAAACGACACTGCTCGGGGACAATTCACACATCGACTTAGAAATAAGACATGAACCACCTCGGCCAACATCGAGTTCGATCCCGCAGCCCCAAGGCATCAACTAAAAACTTTGTTTAAAAAAAGTTTTACAACGCTTTCAATACTTACGTGTGATTATACGGTCTTGTTTTCTGTGAATTATCTCGAATATATCAGTACTTAAAAATAAATGTTATTTTTATCAAAAGCACTGTGGTTTTATCAGATAGTTTGATGTTTGTTGTAGTTGTTACTATGGTATTAAAAAACACAACTGATAACGCAATAATTCAAACGTTTTAGCACAGAAAGGAGATAACCTTTCAAAACCTAATATATAAATTATATAATTTCCAGGGGAGCTCGGAGGGGACGGGAGGTCTTGGGGGTTTGTATGGACAGAATATAGCAAATGCAAACGGGGCAACAAAAATTTGTTAGCCATATGAACCTCTCGAATGAGACGTGGTATCCGATGATTACATTGTGTCTCAGCTGTCATTATTTACCGAAAAACGAAACAACTAAACGTCACTCTATTTGGTTTGGAAAGCACAGTGGCTCAGTCAGTAAGCTGATAGCCCAGAAAGCTCTTGTGTGGTTTCAACATGTCAATGGAACCGGTCGGGAAACCGGGTACAAAGCCCGGACAGTGGCTCAGTCAGTAAGATGATAGCCCAGAAAGTTCTAGTGTGGTTTCGGAAACCGGGTATGAACCCTGGGCAGTTGAAATTCGAAATAAAAGTAGCCCGTATATGTCCCGTATGAACGTCTTCATTAGCCCCAATGGAACAGAAAGGACATTAACCCTCATTTCATTTCGTTATTTTGTAGTATAGGCGAAATGAAATAAACTGGGGTTAGCATTCAACTTTTCGGCACCAAATGTAAACGAATGTAAACCATACACAGTGCTAAGAGCGAAAATTTGCCTGAATATCGGTGCTACGACCTAATCGTATTAGAATAACGGGGGCGGGGGGGGGGGGGTAGCACGTGCTCGCTGTATCATAAGGTATGGCATTGTGTTAACTGGCGTGGTTTTAATTCCCCGGTTGTACGATTCCAACCTCGTGGGTTTCCTCCGGGTCCTCCGGTCTCCTCCCACTCCTAAAGACCCCTACGCACAAGCGAATTATTCAAATAAAATCGAACCATGTGTTAGTCCCAAAATGACCTGGTTTGTGGACGTCTATCTCTCTCCCTCCCCCCCCTCTCTCTCTCTCTCTCTCATAGAATTACAACTGTCAAGGGTTTCTTTCACGTTCACTCAAACGTGTACACGGGCCGTCAGGCTTTCGTACCAACTTGCACCACTGACAAGGGAAAGCGGTCTGGGAGATTTCGAGGAACTGTGGTATAGGAGGTAAATGTATGAATCATATCTCTACCATTAGACGTTGTTATGAAGATATATAATATTAGTTGAAACTACTTGTATCGGGATATCAACAGCTTTTTTTTATTATCTTACGTAATTTTTTTTTACCAGACAACATTGTTATCAGTGTTATTGCCCAATTACAAATAGCGTAGGTAAAGGTGTAACACATCGAATTTCTTTCCCGGGAAATGCAGTATTGACGAGACTTGTTTGGCCATTCCGCGGTTAAAGTTGCAATTTCATATTTTTACGTAATATTTTTAAAATTGATTAAAATAAAGCCTTAAAATAGATGGTATCAATAAAGAGTCCTACCTTGTTAAAGAATGATCCTATTAATCCTATAATTCACTATTGCCAGTTGAGAAATTGGCAAAAATATCATTTTCCTCTTCGAATACAAACGTTTGAGGATAGCTACTCCATGGTGGAGAATAGAAAACAAGGGAGGTAATTGTGTTATTATTTCCGGTGTAAATGAGTTTTAAGGGTGAGAATGACACCTATTATCGTATAATAGTGAGTTGACAACCTATTGAGCAAAAGACATAGAAATAATTATGTTTTGGCTTTCTTAGAAAATATGAAATTGTAACTTTAAGCCCCAGCTATGTGATTATTCGATTAGGTCAATTCTTGGTCATGGGTTCTTTTCCGACTGTCTGATGGTGCAGATCATCGTTTTCAACCCGTTGCGAACCGGTCAGTTTCACTGGATATATTAGTCTGCGATTTCATACGAGGTGAAAGCGGGACAGAGAGAGAGAGAGAGAGAGAGAGAGAGGGGTGGTTTAACATCCACAAACTAACATATGGTTCAATTTTATTTCAGTAATTTGCTTGAGCGTAGGGCTCTTCAGCAGTGGAAGGAAACCAGAGAGAAGCGGGCATATAGGAAATAGGGTGTCACTGGTCAGGCTTGACGGACTTTCCCTTTAGACAACACCGTTGTTGATTTGTTTCTTTACTTAGTCTATCCTACATCCTACAGGTCATATCTATTTCTATTACATCCGGGTTATGTCTCCTTCAATTACTCCAGGATCAGACCCATCAATTACGCCCGGATCAGACCTCTTTCATTAAGCCCGGGTCATACCCCCTCAATTACGCCCGGATCAGACCTCTTTCAATTACGCCCGGGTAATTCCCCTTTCCATTATTTCCTGGTCATACGACTGTGGTTTTTCAGACGGGACTTTAAACCCCAATCTGTTTTTAAAAAACTATTTTATCTATATTCATATCTATATATAATCATATAAAATAAAACAATAATTTAATTTATCAGTCGTATATTTACTAACAGACAGCATCTCATGGCGACGTTCACACCTTTATTTCTTTTCCTTTTATTCTGTTTTGTACCTGTACAAGGTAAGACGTTGTGTTATTTCTTGGGACGTGATAAAATTTTGCTTCGATATTTTGGTTTGTACCCGATGGTCAAGAACTATAAAATAAGTGAGGCGTGGTATCGGAAGGTCTAGAAAGAGCAGGCATAGTCTACCTGGTCCACGACATTCGTCATTAGTAGACGATGAACGAGTTACTAAATATTTGACGTCATTATTTCCCGGAGTAGTTGTAGCCATTTGGTATAATAATATAAAGAATATTTAGACCTTGGAAAAATATAAAAATATGCAGATCTTTTTGATTTAGATGTTTTAAAACAGAATGAAGTACATTACGGAAAACCTGCTAGGGTTAGGATTCATTACGATAACTAACACTAAAATCAACAAACGTGTAACCCTACGTCATAGTTTTTAACATCAACTCGACAAAAACTAGGTCATTTCGACACTGGCATATGGTTCAATTTTATTTCAATAATTCGCTTGCGCGCAGTGGTCTTTAGAAGTGGGGTTAAACCGGAGCACCCGGAGAAAACCCACGAGGTTGGATAGGGGACCCTACTCCTTGTCACATACAACCGGGGAATCGAAACCACACCAGTTGACTCAATGACAGACCTAATGATACAGGGCGCACGCGCTATCCATTCGGCCATCCAACCTCCATGATGCGTCCCCCATGCTAACCATTCGGCCATCCAACCCCCATGATACGTCCCCCATGCTAACCTTTCGCCCCCCCCCCCTCCATGGTGGTAATGAATCAAAGTGAGATCACGACAGATATAATGAAGGTAATCTAACATTTAGAGTGTCTGAACCTTGCATTTGTTGTTCTTGTAGCAGGTCCAGCTGTTGTTAACACAGGAGTAAATGTTGTGGACGAAATACCATATTTTCCTTTTAAAGCAGCAGTTCTTGCTTTTGACAACGCAGTAGTTTCTGTGGGTGAAGTAGTAGTAGCTGTTGGTAAAGCTGTTGCTTTTGATTTTGGTAAAGTACTTGTAGCTGTCGGTGAAGCAATAGTTTCTATTGGTGAAACAGTTATTTCTATTGGTAACGCTATTGGTACAGCAGTAGCACTTGCTGGTTTCATAGTGGCAGCTGTTGGCCAAGGAATTGTGGCTTTTGGTCAAGTAGTGATAGCCATCGGTCAAGCTATTGGTGCAAAAGGAGCAGTAGTGACTTTACCGCCAGCTAGAGCTGCAGCTGGTATTGTATATTGACGTTTAATCCAAAAATGAAATTGTAATTAGTAAACTCCCGTGTATAGCCAAATATACGCGAGAGGTCAATAATCATTATTTTGATTTATGAAATTATAAATTTAAATGTATAGAGCTTGTCTCACCACCCTAAACCAGAAGAGAGAGGACGACATATACTTGCCTGTTTCTCAATTTTTAATAGAATATTGGTTTTGAAACATATTGAGTCATAACTACTGACCAATCTCAGTTTTAGAATATGACTACTGACAACCTCAGTTTTAGAATATGACTACTGACCAACCTCAGTTTTAGAATATGACTATAATGTACTAACGTTTATAGATGACAAAAATGTGACAAGCTTCTTCATTATATAAAAAAAAATAATCGCTAAAATTGAAATTTAATTGAAATAAATTAATCTTAAATGACACAAGTCGTTATTTTGTTATTCGAAAAATACCATACAAATGGTGAATAATTATGTTATTGTATATTGTGGTTACTGTGGTATCCGTAGTCTACAGAGTTCGATATACAGACGATACGAGCTGGTAAATATGTATGGTCCATTATAATAAATGTTTTAATTTATTGCAAATCAACAACATGAATTATCTATACCGACTTTTTGAAATCATCAAAATGATGTTCTAGACAAAGCTCGCTCATCGATCACCAAATGGTGTTCAGGGGTTAGTTGATATCTGCGGACAAATCCTTAACTTTAAAGAGAGAGAGAGAGAAATGGGGTTTAACGCCCCACTTGACTAAAACTAGGTCATTTCGGGACTAACACGTGGTTCAATTTTATTTAAATAATTCGCTTGCGCGTAGGGGTCTTTAGCACTGGGGGGGGGGGGGCGGAACTGGCGGACCTCGAGAAAATCCACGAGGTTGGACAGGCGACCCTACTCCTTGTCACGTACAACCGGAGAATCAATACCAAGCCAGCTGACTCAATGACAGACCTTTTGATACAACGCACACGCGCTAACTATTCGGCCATTCAACCCAATGTGTACACGGGACCTCGGTTTTTTGTCCCATCCGAACGACTAGACAGCTTCCTTGAGACTGAAAACACTGTAAACATATGAAATCATTATTTTATTCAAATCTATTCAGACAGTCTTTACGACATAGATAACAGCGAAAATTTCAAATTTCAATTATTTTTCTCAATTTCACTGTTGATTGGATGGCCGTGCCCG